GAAGGATAAGGGATGAAGCTGTGATGTTTCTCTTGCTTCTCAGCACAGCTCAGTCAGGACCAGTTTCAGGGCCTGTTGTATCTCCTGGTGCAAAGATCCAGAATTTTGGCTCTTAGCACTGGTCTTTTTAAGATCAGTTAAGAGTGACTCTATCACTCAGCTGCTTCATCACTTCAGCTACCTCCAGGTGCCAAATGAAGAACAGAGTAAGTTTGATCCTCTTCAGTAATAGACAGTTTTTTTACCTGCCAGGAGCGCCATTTTATTTTTTCACTGAGAATATATGTGGAGAAATCACGTCATAGAATCATAGGATCACAGGATCATGGGACATTTGAGTTGGAAGGGACTTCTGAAAGTCACTCCTTCCACTGCTGAAATACACCACCCACCTCCTTACTGTGCTCACATTCAATATTTGATTTCCATGAACAAGCAAGCATCAATTAATATTAATGGGTGCAATTTTTTTCTGTACCCAATTCAATTCCAAACCTTTGTTTCATATTCACTTCCATGTGAGACAACATTCTGCTGGACTACCTCTGTGTTGCTGTCTATCACACAGCTACAAAACATTATGAAATATTGGTGGAAAGGTTCAACCTCTACTGCCACACCACTGATATATGCCTCTGATGTTTTGGGCCAACACAGTAAAACAGGTGGCATTATTTTTGGAGCACCCTATGTAAAAGAGACAATATAATTAATGTATATAAGTAACACAAATTATTTTAATTGTTAATATTTTTATTAATACATTAAAAAGAGAAACAAAAGCATAAAACTAGCGGGATATTTGTCCCTCTTTTTGTGAAACCAACACATCATTGCTGACTCACGTTCAGTTTTTCATCCACCAGGACCCCCCAGGTCCTTCTCTGCAGGGCTGCTCTCAAGGACTGCTCCTCCCAGTCTGTGTGGATGCCTGGGATTCCTCCGGCCCAAGTGCAAAACCTTGCACTTTGCTGTCTTGAACCTCATTATTTTCACCTGGGCTCACCTTTCAAGTCTGTTGAGGTCCCTTTGAATGGCATCCCTTCCTTTCATTGCATCAACAGCACCACTCAGCTTGGTGTTATCAGCAAACTTGCTGAGGGTGCACTCAATTCCATCATTGATGCCATTGGTAAGGATGTTAAAGAGCACCATAGGTAGCAAAGATATTCTTAGTTTTAAGCACTCTGAGAAGGGTGCGGTTTCTCTTGCTAGCAACAGTAGAACTAGGCTGAGATAAGCTTTAGAAAATGAGTCAAAACAAACTTTTATTTTAGCCTGCATGTTTTGGAAGAGGGTTGGCAATATACTGTTTAACATACACATATTGACTGTTCATGTATGTATGTAACTGCAATTCAAGCTATTCTTACCTCATCTTTACTTTTTTTTTTTTTTTGCTATCTGCTTCTGACATAAACCATGCTAATTAAGAATGGCTGGCTAGGCGGAGTTCTTATGATTCTCATTAATTTTTGTTTTAAGCGCTATCTTAACAAAAACAGTGGACAAAAGAGTGCAAGTCTCAATGTTAAGGACATACCAGGTGCAGAAACACTTGATTTTGCAGATGTACCATAAAATTCATAACTAAGTAAGGAGGTATGGCAAGTCAAGGACTGTGACAATATCTGGATTTCAGAGCTCTGCAGATGCTCTCCTTGCTATTGGTACTGCTGCTGGCAGAAGAGTTGCTTTCCATTGAAGGAAGGGTCCAAGAGTTACCAGAAGCAGCAGTGCTGGCTGACATTAAGAAATCCTATAGTAAATTAACTGAGATTCCTCTTCAGTAATGAACTAGATGATCGTAGAATCACAGGATGATTTGGGCTGGAATGGACCTTAAAGGTCCCCTGGGAAGGATATTTCCCATTTGACCAGGATGCTCAAAGCCCTACCCAGCCTGGCCTTGAACACTTCCAGAGATGGGGTATCTACAGTTGCTCTGGGCAGCCTGTCTCTGAGCCTCACCATCCTTATGGTGAAGAATTTGTTCTGATTATCTAATCTAAAAATATCTCTTTTTTTCCCCCTAGTTCAGTTTGGTTTAGTTTAAAACTGTTACCCTTGTAACATGTCTGTGTCTTTCTTTTGCTGCAGACCCCATATCTGAACACAGTTCTTCAAGTGAGGTCTCATGACAGCTGAGTAGAAAGGGGGAAAGAATGCATCCCATGGGAGTTTTCAGATGATAAAAAATCTGAGAGGAGTTGTGCTGTCATGCAGTGGGACCTGAACAGGCTGGAGAAATGGGCTGACAGGAAGCTCATGGAGGGAACTTTGACCTTGGAAGAAGTATCTCCGCTCACCACACACAGGCTCAGGTGGACCAGTTATAAAGCAACTTCGCGTAAAAGAACCTGGATGTCCTTGTTGACAAGTTGAAGATGAGGCAGCAGTGCGCCCTCGTGGCAAAGAAGGCCAAGAGCGTTCGCGCTGCATCGGGAAAAGTGTTGCTATCAGACTGTAGGAGGTGATCTTTCCCCTCTGTTCAGCACTGGTGAGGACACTGCTGGAGTGCTGTGTGTAATTTGGGGCTTACCATTAGGAGAAATGCATAGACTTAGTAGAGCCGGTCCACTGAAGGGACACTCAAATGATTAAAGGACTGAGGCATCTCAGATGAAGACAGGTTGAGAGAGATGGGATTGTTCAGGCTGGGAGAAAAGGGAGCTCAAGGAGAATCTCATCAACGTGTAGAAATGTCCAAAGGGAGGCTGTAAGAAAGGAGAGCCAGGCTCTTTTTGCTGGTGTCTGCTGACAAAACAAGAAGTAACACAGGATGTTCTGTCTGAACATCAGGAAAGTTGTTTTTTTTTTTACTGCAAATGTGGCTGAACACTGACCGGCACATGTTCCCAGAGAGGCTGTGGAGTCTCTGTACTGGAAGATATTCAAAGCCATCTGAACGTGATCCTGGGCAGACTTCTCCAAGTGATCCTGCTTGAATTGGCAATCTACCAAAGTCTGTTCCAGCATCAGCTCTTCTGTGATTTTGTGTTATTTAACCAGTGAACCTAAAGCAACCTATTGCAACTTGAAGTCTAATGACAACATATTTTACCTCACGATGCTGGTTACTGGTTTATCATTCTGCTTTTCAGGAGTTCCATATTATTATACCTTAAAGGAATGTTTTTGAATGGACTTCTTTCTTGCTGTGGAATGTAATTGGTGTCTCTGCTCATTTGTTTGCTTGCCGTGTTTATAGAGTCACTTAATGACTTAATGCACACTGCCAAAGAAAAAAACTGCTAAGCAGTTGAGGAGACAGCCTGGAAATCTGAAAGTTGCTATGGAAGACAAAAAATTTGGCACCTCAGCTACACATTTCCTTGTGCCTTACTGCTGTTTTCATTACCACAATAGCCCAGAGGATTAATGCATTTAAATAAATATGAACTCAGATTTTCTCTGAAGCTCATTGCTTTTTAATGTTCTTTAGGTGCAGAAGGTATTTAGGAGTGGTTTCAAGACCAAGAAAAGAGGAGGCAGTGAAATTGGTAAGGTAATAGAAGGAAGTTGGCAGCCTGCAGTAGAGGGGTGGCAAGTGATTTTCTTCTTAGAGAAAGGGGGAAATAAACAACTTCACTAATTAGGAACAAATAAACCCAGCCCATTGAGTGATGGCTGATGGTAGTTTATGGCAGCGTTAGTAGTCAGATGGTAGTGGTAATTTTTTGTGTTTGTTTTATTTTGATTTGTTGTTGTTTATATTTTGTTTAAGTGAATGTGTTTGAGAAGGACTCAGTCCTAGCATAGATTTCCAGATGCCTTCTTCATGAGCTGGCTATTGTTTCTTACTATGGACAAACACAAAATGTCAGTGATGGTTATTACGCCTTACGCCTGACAAGCTGCACATCAAGGCTGATGAGAGTTTTGAGGCTGACAGTGAAAGTCTACGGGGTGCTTGTGTGAATCTAGTCATTTCAAAGATGAAAGTCATATGAGGCTTGTTGTTTGTAGCAATAATGTGGACTCTAGCTGTTGCTCAGGCAAGACTTCCATGTTAGTGATTATTTGAGCTGAAGAATGACTTCAGTGGGAAGCGAAATGTTAGGGGGAAAAAGTGAACTGAATAACAGCATGTGTTAAAAGGACCAAGAGAAACCTGGTGAGTATCTTCCTGAGTTAGTACACCTGGCTATTTGATACAAGCTTTATTTATGGAATCAAATAGTGACCAAGAGTTTGAGGAGATTGAAGGACCCATTGGAGATATGTTTAGCAACCTGCAGCATGGGATCAAAAGGTCAAGTTTTTAGGCTGCAATCTGATATTTTATCTTTGAGGTATATATGCTAGTAGGTCCGGGTTGGATCATACTCACAGCTGTGAGTTTATATCCAGCTCTGTGAATGGACAACTGAAACACTGTTCTGTTCTGGGTCATTGCAGCAATACCTTCCTTATTAGTTGCTTCTGAGAGTGGATTCTGGGAGTATTTCTTCCCTGAGAACACTGAGTGTAGCTATTCCCCAGCACACTGCTTTAACAGCAGGAGAGTAAATCACCAACACAGAAAAATACGTATATTTTAATGTCATTAAATAACTTTGCTATCAAATATAAAACCTTACATGAAAATAAGAGCTGTGACTTTTCAGATAATTTGAATGATACTAATCTGAATAAAAATGTTTGGCTTGTTGGCATAATAGCTTAATGAACTGACTCCCACATGGTTTTACAAACTCCAGATAACATGCAAATTCTCTTAGTCAGGTGGAAATAAAGGTGAAACTGAGGTGGAGTCTAGCAATTCTTAACATCACTTCACAGGAAAGAATATTTTTGCCAAGTAGGAACAGTGGAGAATTTATGTCCCCAGAATGCAAATCTGAGCTGAATTTTGTCTTGAGAATATAATGTTAATGTCCATATTATGGACAATCAAGATCTCAAAAGAAATTTGTCTCAGATCTTCTGCATTTTTCTTGAAAGTTGTCAGTTGCATTGCAGAAAATAAAATGCAGGCATTGTTCAAGATTGAGGACTGGAACATTTTGAATGGGACAAATAAATGGAAAGTAAAACTGTATCCTGTAGTTGAGCATAGCATCATGTATGGATTGCTGTATCTTTAAACTTGGAAGCCAAAGAAAGAGAGAAGACAGTCAACCAAAGTGGAACATGCCCCACTTATTATTTTTTTCAGTATCTGCTTTGCCTAACTTTGTATATCTGGATTTCTACACAAATGAATGATACCTCATGCTTTAATATGCTATCCCTGCATCCAACTGAAAAAAACCTGTACTACAACGTCTGGTCAGTATACGTAAGTTATTAATTTTTGATAGTTTTTTTTTTTTTTTTTTTTTTTAAAAAAAAGGTATAATAACAAAAAATTACATTCAAAACAATTTTTTTCTTTCAGTTATTTCTAGTTTTAAATGCCCTATGGAAATTTCATGGCTTTTCTCAGAAGGTGGGGCAGTGTCTTTAAGTTCCTTTTTCTACCATGGAATGTACAAGAAAGTTGCTGGTACAAAGCCCAGAGCATTTATGGCCCATGATTAAATACCCTGACTCTGATCATATTTTCAGCAAGGTCAATGATTCACAGGTTAGTGCCCAACTCTATTCCTGAGACATTCACTTCTGCAATCCTTGCTGTTCTGCTCTCTTCATTGACTCTCACTGACAGCATTTTACAGTGTCACAGAGCATAATGAAAGATACAGCAAAACAGTCACAGGTGTCAAACATAACCATACAACTGAAGACTGCAGGATCTTGAGGAGCGCTTAGACTTTTAAACAGCTTCTCCTTATGCAGACGCTCGGGATTCTTCCAAGTCAGCCTCTGCCCTTAAAAAACCTGCCACAGTGAGAGCAGTGCTGCTAAGTGCTAGGCTGTTTTCTGTGGCCTTGTCAAAGGGTGAAGGAGTCTCAGCAAAAAACAAAGCAAAAGAAAACAATGGAAAGAAGATATTTTGTGCTTATAACAGTTGGAGCAGTGGCTTGCTGTGCTTCTCTTCTTATTTGTTACTGTTGACAACGTGGGTAGATTTCTGCCCTTCATATCTCACCATCTTCTTACCTGTCCAGTTGCTAAATACATTTTTGTGTTGGAAGAAAGGTCTCTTTATTTTTTTTTCTTTTTTCTTTTTTTTTTTTTTTTTTTGTGGCATGTGGATGGCAAAGTTTTCATCTCCTCTTTCCAGATTTAATGAGATCACTAAATTCAGTTCTTTATATCTAGGTAGTACCACAGAAGGTAAAACCACACTGGTCCATTCAGAAGTGAATCAAGCCACTGAGTGCAGGAAGGTCCAAGGTGGCATTTCCTCTTAGTGATCAGGACTGCAGCCAGAGGAACTGCACCAGGAGCCAGGGAAATTCATGTGTGTGCCAATTAATAATGTAGAAGACTGAGGTGAACACTGACAGTTGTTCAACCAAAAAGCCCATTAAATCAGGAGAGTTTTCCCCAAAGGGTAGAAAAAACTCATAGAGACAGAGTACTGTATTTGCTACTGTTCTATAGCAAAAATAAAAGCAAAGAACACTGGACAGTGGACTTCAGTCATCAGATGGAAATATTACATGTTGTTCTGCAGGGTGTTTGGAGAGGATTCTTGTTCTGGCACAGCATCTGAAACAATGGGACCTCAGACCTCACTATGTGCAGAAATGGTTCCCAGTCAGTAGTCTATAGCTGCTGGCCTCTATTTCAAGCTGGATACCTTTTAGACTGCGAGACTGACACCTGAAATAGAAGAAGATGTGATTTACAGAAATATGAGAGAGAGGAGCTGAAATAGTTGATGATAAATGTTCTCTTATCACAGGATTTGGAGAAAGAATGAGAAGGGCCTCAGGACCCTTGGGTGTGCAAGAAAGCAGGACTGATTCTGAGGAATTAATTCCCTTCTTAATACAAGAAGGGATAGATTATGATGTCAGCATAATTATCCTCTCAGTGCAGAATGAAGCCTGGACTGCTGAGACCTAGTGTTGCAATAAAACAGAGAAATGGAATGCAAAGATCACTTGCTGTTTCTGTTGTAAGCATGGTTCACTGCTGAGCAGCCTGTGTTGGACCAATGTCCTGGGTCCTTCACCTCAGTGGTGATAGAACTGCCTGTACATAATGCAGATCCTCTCTCATCCCTCTCCCAGCTGCACTTTTCTTACAAATGGTGATGGACAAACAAAGACTTATATAAATCAATGATTTTAGGAACCGAATCTACCAATAAGCCATAATAAAAGATGAAGCTGCAGGACAAAATAATAAAGCTTGTGCCATGGCAGTCTAACAGAGCACAAAGAAGGAGAAATGGATTACAGGGTAAGACACGAGAAAGGTGTTTGGATTTACTGCTGGATGGAAGAGATGTTTCAGGAACTAATTTGTCCAAGGAAGTTAAAGTCCGGCATAAAACAGCTTTCTGTCAGCAGCTGAATGTAGACAAAAGATTCATTGAAAAAAGAAAGCAAAGCCTATGATTTAGGGAAGAGCTGAGTGACAAGTAATTACTTACTCTGGCTGGTAGATGAGATATTTCTGTTCTTCAATATCAAAAAACCCAGAAGAAGTGTGATCAGTACAATTACAGCTATAAGTGGGCCAAAGAAATTTACTTTCACCGGTTCCATTTTTTCTGCCTGTATCTCTGAACAAGAGAAGAGAGAAGATGCATGTAGCAAAGATTTAATTTGCCAAGAATTAGCTTAACCCATCCTCACCCAAATTTATGTAAATTAGAAGTTTATAGAAGGGCCCTAATTATCCTTTGCTTTTACAGTATTTAATAATGCTAGGAAATCACTCTCCATGTGTCTTGTTTTGTTTTGTTTTGTTTTTTCCCCAGTAGCTGGCAGGTGCACCAAGGCTAACAACCACTTCAGCAACAGTAAGGAGAAGTGCTATTTCTGATGTTTGGGTTATGTGAGAGATTGGCAGCTTGATTAATACATGAGCCTATGATGCCAATGCTAGGCTACTACTACTCTGCTACTGAAAATTTAAATAGCCTGGGATATGTTATTATGTAGTGTCTGTTGAACCGAAGATCAAAGCTTAATGAAAAGCTCTAAGGGATGTGAGAGAGATAGGGAATGCACGGGAGTTTCCTTCTGTTTCTGGTTATTTTGCTTTTGAGGTTTTGGTTGCTAGGGATAGCAAGTGACACAGCTGCAATTGTCACTGAATAAAGGTTTTTTTTCTCTAGAGTTGTTAGTTTCTTATCCACCATTACTGTTTATTAGGTGGCTACTTCTTAAAGTCAGGGATGAGAAGAACTGAACAGGGAAGAGGAGGAGGCACTACTATGGCTAATATTAGAGGTGTTAATACTTTGAGCAACATTTAGAGCTTTGCAAACCTCCGAAGACTTCTGTATTATAATTTATAAAATCCTGGAGTGTAAGGACATCAAAGGCAGTTTGCCATATATAGCAGTGATGACTGAATCCTCTAGTTAAAGTTTAGTGAAGAAAACTGATTTGTAGATCTTTTTGGTAAATCTTTTTTCCATCCGGAGTAGTAAGTAAGCAGTAAATGGGGAAGCCTGTAAGTAAGTAGTAAACTTCTCTAATAGGCTTTCTGCAGTGTTACCAGTCCTTTTGGGTTTCTTGTTCCCATCAGGTGAATAACAGCATTCCACATTCAACACAGTCTTAAAGGAGATGGGCGAGGCAAATGACTGAAGTGGGAAGCAATTCTATTTTGATGTATTTGTGCCATAGCTTATGAATACAAATGTATAAAAAATGAATCCAGGAGAATGTTACAGCATCATGATATTCATGAGGGCTCACTCTGGCATGTAGTTTTTCAGTTAGAAAGGGTAAAGTAAACTGTGAGGCACACAAAAATATCTACACACAACTGACACTGTGATCATTAGGGAACATTTGGGATGGCACAGAGTCTGAATTTCTTGCAAGAGGTGTCTGAAAAGAGGCACAATCCCAGAGAAAAAGAAAAATCCCCAAATGGTCATTTTGGAATGCACACTGTATTCTGCCAAATGTTGTGGAAACCACTAGGAATACTTCCAAAACCCATCAAAGTTTTGTGGCCTTTACATTTTAGTTCAGTATAGTCTACTTTACAGCTTGTGAGCCAAATTTGGTCCAAGGGACTCTTCTGTTCAGCCCTCTGCCTCTCTCTAGAAAGAGATTAGGAGCAGCAGCTCAAGAACTTATACATCAGAAAAAAAACACGTTTGCAGTGTGAGAGTCGTCAAACACTGGAACAATTTGTTGAACGAGGTTGTGGAGTCCCATCCTGAGAGATATTTAAAACTCAACTGGATAAGGACCCAGGCTGATTTCCAGATGCTTCTCAAACCTCAGCAGTCCTCCGTGATCCAGCAGGCTCTATCTGAACAGCTAAACACCACCTCCAGAGACAGGCTGAATCCTAATCCATGTATTTAGTTTGCTTTGTTGCTGCAGCAGCATTTGGAGATAGGTGAACAAGACTGTGCTCTGTTCTGTGTAGCAGTAACCTTCCTTCTCTCTGTGCTCTCCTTTCTGTAATAAGGCTTCCCATGGAAAGGCAGAAGAGGGAGTTTGGTGGCTGTGATTATCAGTGAACAGGATGACAAACATAGAAGCCCTGTAAGTAGCCCCTTCTGCTACTTAGGGCTATGTTGCCACCTGTGATCATTTCTACTAAAGCATTCTCAGCTCCTACCTGTGCAAAAATCAGAATGAGCAAATGAAAACTCACCTATGACTAGTGGCACTGAGGTAAGGCTCCCCTGCTGCTCTCCAAGGTGAAGCAAACAGCTAATATTAGTGAGTGTATTTGTAGGAACTGGGATATTCAGCTTGCTGGTAACATTATACAGCTTTGTTACAGCATCCTGTAAGACATCCATGCGTTGTATAAGCCTATCTGTTATGTTTTCACTTGAAATTATCCAAATCATCTGCTTGGGCTCTGGATAACCTCCGCTGGAAGAACAGGAAAGATTCAGGTTCTCACTGGGCTTTGGTTCCCCACTGTGTAGCTGTGCTATCACAGGTTGACTATAGTTGGCTGAAACAGACCAAAGAAAAAGCATCATGAGTCACACGTACTCCATCCTGTGACAGTGCCTGTCAATATTTTGAGATTTTCACGTGGAATCACACCTAAACAGTTTTCCTAGGAAAGCATTGTGGGTCCCAAGAAGGGTTTGTTATGTTTTGGCTGCACACATAGACTTGCTTCTTCTTGTCTTTGAAGCATTTCAGTGACATAGGTCATATCAGCCAGACAGTGAGACTGTCTCTCTTACCTTTTCTAGACTAATTGGTACCTCGTAATAAACGAACCTGGCCTGCTCAGCTTGACTTTTTATGTGAAAGTGACTACCGTACAGGTTCCTTTACTCTGTGCCATTGGATCTCACTCAATGAAAAACTTCCCTGTTGCTTTAAAAAAAGTTTCCCAAGCAATAAATAATTGGTGAAAAAGGGCTGGAAAGGACTATTCAAACATGTGATGTGAAGGATAATGATAGCTTTTAATCAAAGCAAAAGAAGTTTCAGGCTCAAAACTTCATTGAAAATATTGAAGTATGTTGATATTAAAGTCTTTTAGTACTAAAAACTATATGGAGAAGAGGCAGGAGTTTCTTAGGGAGATATGAGTGTAATGGATGGTCTGATTCTTCAGTATACACATTTGAAGTGTGAGATCCAGGCTCTAAGCCTAGCCCCAGTGAACTTGAATCTGTAACTGAAGATAATGTCTTCCAAATAGGCTACGGACTGAAATACCTCGAGAGACAATAGATCCATCAGGATTTTAACATTTTTCGAGCAGTGTTATCACTCTGACTTGTTTTGTTTTTGCATTCTGAAATGACTGCATGGCTTACTTCTCCTCTGTTTCTAATAGCTCTTATATCTTCACTGAATTAATTAGCCCTTTAATTATCCAATATTGAATGTGTATTTTGGGTAGTCGCTCTCTAAAAATAAGAGTCTCCTCAGTTTTCTTAGTTAGAAGGTGATCAGATTGATCGTTTAACATCTTCAGTTGAACTGTATGTTTTTTCCAGCCCTCAGATATCTATAGAAGAGATTTTATTCATGCTTTTATGTTTTTCAACAATCCCTCTAAAATGAGGACAGATACTGTAGTATCTATTCCAGCACAAGTTTCACCACCAACAGCAACAGCACATGTTTTGAAATAGTTTTCATTGTCTCATCTGCTTCCCTTATGGATCCATCTTAAGTAAACACTAGAGATGTACTACACATAAACATCAGAATTTCCAGTTAAGCAGCTTCTCAAAATGATCCCTTCCTGTCTGTTTTACAAAACTTTTCATTATGAAGCCCTCTCTTTCTGAAGAATGATCTGTGTTCATTGTTCTTACATAAATAATCTTGTCTGTAAACAATATATACACTATATATCCATATATCTGTACCTTGTCCTGTAACATATATATATATATGTACACATAAAAAACATACCTAAGTTACGTTAGAAGATACTTAGGTATTTGGAATAGATTTGGTCACCAAGAGATTGGTTTGTTTGACTGACCTTTCCCTCTTGTACTACACTCAAACTTTCTTAAGTCCACTTTAAGTGTGAAACTTCATACTACATAAATAGCCTTCCACATATTCTATGCGATTCTACCTAAGAAACAGGCAGAGATACACTTCAACGTTTGTATTTTTTCTAATGATTTTTTATTTTAATTGACCCCTATATTCTACCTTCTTTTGGGAAGTTACTGAAGAGAAAGACATTCGAAAGAAACAAAGAAGCAAATAATTTTAAACACGCTTCCTATATCAAAGGTTTGGGAGAGTTTTAATGCCTATGTATGAGACTTCTGCAACATGTTAAATTAGTTGAGGACTTGCTATTGAGTGCAAATTGTAAGTCTCTAAGGTCTGAAGCTGCTGAAAATATTCATCGTGCAAATTCTGTGAAAATTAGAATTAACAACCTACGTTTCCTATTTGCTTGTGCATCAAGGGAACACTTGCTGGTAGTACAGTGCTAAATAGTCTCAAGCATCATGGTGATCTTTCTGGCTGCTGTTGCACATGGCCTACATTCTTTTGAAGCTTGAGAACACCAGTAGAAATCAGAAGCTGCTGTTATTAATGTTACCACTGTCCAAGTAGAAGAGAGAACATACAAACAAAGGTGACAAAGAAAATAATATAAAATAGAAAAACATTATATAAAGATGCAATTCCTAAAAATCTGAAAAAATACTAGGAAAACATTACTTACTCACTGAACCCTACTCGCCTGTAGTCTGTCCTTGCCTCTGATATTGTGCCAGAAATCAAGCTGAGTCTGATCAATGCCTGAATTTTTTTCTGCAGAGATATTTTCAGTCCTTCCATAACTGAGCATATGATGTTCTACTCCTCCACATATTAGCTGCTCTTTTCTACATTTTTCCTGATTTATATCATCATAAAATAGCTGGATATTTGCAGAAAACTTTTTATGTTTCAACTGTAATTTACCACCAACATTCTTAATGCTATTGCTTTTAATAGAAGTCAGTGCTTCAGATGCAAATAAAAACTGTATTTTCTGGAGTCCTAGAAGCCATAAAACTTGCAGGGAGTAAGATCACAGAATCACAGAATTCACAGAAAAGATGAAGAAGGCAGGGTGCTTTTCACTATACAGTGTGACAGGGTGGGAGTCAGGAATGTGTAATATTGAGCAAATTATTTCCTCTTTTTTTCTACTTCTTCCAAATTCACAATGAGAATTTTCTGAGAAAGAAACAGAGAAGAAGCACTTCTATCCACTTTAGAAATTCTCTCCACTTCAGCTAGACCACCCCAGTGGCATGGGAACAGTCCATGTTTGAACTAAACAAAATGACAGAAACCTAAAAATAAAATAAAACAAACAAACAAACAAGCTCACAAAACAACAACAAAAAAACCAAACCAGATGACAATTAGCAGAAATTACTTACCAATGATGTGCAGTAAGCACTCAGATTCGTGTATGATCTTTTTTGGTCCCTGGTCCATGTGCATAATAATACATTTATACTGCCCCTCATCCACAATCCTTACATTTAACAATTGCAAAGTCCATTTGTCCATATCCATCTTGGTACGATTTATGTATTTAGGACTAAGGTGATCATATATTTCCTGGCCAAGGTAAACTTCGTGTACCACTTCACCCGTACCTTTTTGCCAAAAAACTATTATATTCTTTATGTCAGTTTTCTGAGAGTTTGGGAAATAGCAAGATAGGTATGCAGTGTGATTGAGAAATGACTTCACGTGATGTACATTGGCAGCAATACCTTAAATAAATAAAAAAAAGAGAAGAAATTAACATTTCCATCAACTGCAAAAGAATACGAAATGCTTGCAGTCACGGAGGCAATACTTAGTGACAGTAGCATAAACCCACCAGCATTTAGACAAATTCTCCACTACCTATGAGAGGATACATACTTCTTCATACCGATGCACTTAGTCTTGTAGCATTCAGGTCATAAATCCGTTTCTTATTTTCCTTCCTATATTTCACTTTCCAAGGCAGGCTTACCACTCAGAGCCAGGGACAGTCTGTATTTTGGAAGATTTAACTTCAGGCAAAAGGCCACAGCTCCACACTGTTCTCAAATGTGTAAGCAATGAGATTCTGTTGTGAATGAGGCAACTGCATAATTTGTTTTTCAAAACTCAAGTTCATTCTCTTCAGGAAACAACACAGCACTGCAGTTTTGAAGACAGTGTGAATACAGCATATGTGGTAAATGTTGGTGTCTAGGGAATATATGGCCAGAAGGTCAGAAACAGGAAAAGCTTTCTGTTTCACTGAAGAATTAATCTAAGTTTAATGACAAATTAAATGTCAGATTTAACTATTCTGTAATTAATCCAGAGTTTAATGGCAAATTAAATGTCGGATTTAACAGCTCTGTTGCTGAACTTGTTAACAGAAATAGTCAATAAACATGATTATGCCTTCATGCATCAAAAGAATGGACTATATTACATTCAGGATGATTATTCTCCTACTTCCATCACAACCTATATCCACTGATATTATGGGGTAGAGACGGGCTGGGAGAATAATCTTTTCTTGTCATGAGAAATGCAGACCTCTGTTCTAGCAGATACAAACACATTTGCTGTGTTCAGAAGATGCACTGTTTTTCTCCTGAATCAAAGTTTTGACTGGTTTTCTGGAGCACAAGACTGCAGTGATCTTCATAGCTGCCTAAAACTCCATTTATTCCTTATCAAGCTGTCAGTCTTTAGTTCAATACTGCTGTCCTCTCTTATATACAGAGGGGATATACACATGTTCTCAAAAATAGATTTAAATTGAAAATTTAAGAGCAACACGAAGAATGTATAATGTAAAGATACAAAATTGAAGAGAGAAAGTACTTTCTACATTTTTTTAAATAGAGTCCCTGCTCACAGTTTAAATACATATCACACAGATTATATGACTTTGATTTTACAACTGAAATTGCTAATTACTACTAAAGAAGGAGCATCAAAGTAAATGTAAATGTATCACATAGCAGGACACAAATAATCTAAACATTTTTTACAATTAAAAATCTGCCTCTTACCTGGGAGAAGTATTATGGCAAAAAGAAAGAATATGCAGACCTCCATGATGCTGTAAGAAGGAAAAATTAAAGAAGTATTTTAGAGGTTGAAAACACTGCAGTGCCTTCTCCAGTGCTCCCCAAGTAGCAGTAAAACAGGAAGAAGTTTTGAGAGAGATTTTTGAGAAAGTTAATCTCACATTTCCCTTCAACTTGTGGAAATGCTTCTCTGCGCTTTAACAGCCATTAGCAACCAGAAGCATGCTATGACAGACCTCTGGTTTACATGACTGTGCTGAGGTTCAAGATTACTGGGTATGCCATGGGAAGGGCACAGAGTCTATGGACTGCAAAGGGCCAGAGTGCCCAGAACAACTGGCAGAGAGGAGAGAGGAATGGGGAGCATGCCTGCCCTTAGCTGAACACGGAAGAAGATGGGGAATTGAAAGCAGAGGAAGAGGAGAGGGTGACACAGGAGAAGTCGGTGGTGGAGACAGGCAGCACAATGATGTCAACTACCAGAAGTGATGAAATGGGTAACCTTCCATTGTGTAACAGGAACCTTTCCTTCACTATAATGAAAGACAACTGAAATCAATCCTGCGGGATTTAAAGAGTTGAGGCTACGTGTCACCTGGTTTGGTCAAGAAAAATAAATATCTATTTAAGAAAAAAAAGCCTTTTGACTCATCTCATAAGCAGAACACTTCTGCGACTGAATTCACATAGCGAACCTATATAATCTTGTTTAACAGTCAAGGCCCTTTCTCCAAGTATTTCTTATTTATAGGTGAGAGAATTGCTCCTGCATCCTCTGGCTTACAGCTGATGGAGAGCAGTGCCTTTGTGTTTTTCCTGTGCTATTTCCACATACTTGGGAGAAGCCTTCACACCATGCCATCCAAGCTGCTCTGCTCTCCTTTCTGAATTATTCCAAAGAAGGCTCTTTTTTAGTGGAGAAGGTGTAAAAACTCTTCAGCTCTTACATGAAAAAAGAAGTGTGATTGCTGTCTTCTGGTTTCCCCTTTTTTTTTTGGCCATGTTTTATTTTAAGCTTGTACACTTTGATCTTTTTTACCACAGATTTCTGGGAGCAAGTGTATTTTTCTGTTTAACACAGAATTTCCCTCCGTCAGCTGTTGTGTTTTCTATGTGTGTACTGCAAAACACAAAACCATATTTTTTTCCAGATTCAGCCTCTTCTTAGGAAAGAGGAGACAGAAACTTGGATGTGCCAGAGGATCTTTGTGATCAGTGAGACTCACCAAAGTCATAGCAGAAGAGAGGGAGTTTGTGCAGGATCCATTGCTATAAGCAGAGATCATTTTCCTCTCCTCCATGAACCCAGCACAAACCGCCCTGCTATGCAGTGAATGTTTATCTCGGCTGGGCCCCACTCAGTTGAACCACACAACTAATTTAAGTAAAATTGCCTGTGCCAACTTGCCTGTGCCTATGCCACAAAAGCCTACAGGAGCTCCTTCTCAGCAGACATGTTTTTCTCATGTGAATAAGAATTTTTACTTCTAGTCAAACAAAGAAAAATAACCAACACAATAACCCTGGTTTTTTTTTGGATCTAGTGAAGGTTTAGAAGAGGTGAATTAAAAACAGTTTAGCAACTGGAAATATAAATGACTGTACTGCTATAATAAAGCATGTTTTACAATGACATTCTCACAGGAGCAAAGACGAAAACTGGAAATGAAAATAAGTGAGAAAAACAAAACTCAAGGGAAAAAAAAATACACACAAAAATCCACAACAGATAACACTTTCTCCATGCCTTTCTTTATGGGTTAGCTTTGGAGCTGAAGACAAAAGTCTCAAAGGTCTCACAGAATTTCCTGGCTGCTGTCTTCTAGATGGTGGTTGCGGGACTGCCTGCATGTTGGGGGCTCTAAGATCCCTCAGGATTTCCACACGTCCTGGAGAGGAAGATCACAGTGTGACTTCTGTTGCTCTTAGATGAGCTGCTTCAGAGACAGTTGCTGAACCATGATGTGGGTCAGTAAACTGCAGTGTTGTGAGAAAACTCTCTTTCTTTATTTAAAGAAAAATCCTTAATCAGCTGATGCAAGTTCTATCAGGCACGGTCCAGAAGGCTGAGAAGAGAAAAGGCAATCAAAACACTCTGCGTTGGCTACTTACACAATTTCTCAGACATTTTCAATATAAATTCTGTGCCCAATTCTTTTTTATAACTGCAGGCCACTGAAAGATTGATTACATGCCAGAATTGTTAAGGAATCAAAATGGTCCAGGTAAGATGGTGCACGACTGGCAAATGATGGGGAACAATCTGCTCCTCACAATGGCCCCGTGCACGAGCCCCCTCCTCCAATGCAGAGCACTGTGGCTCTCTGTATCTTCATGGTTTTCCAATCACTTGCTGGCTGCATCCAATGGAAGAGGCACCTTTTCAAGATGCCAGTGACAATGGATGTGATAGGAATCCTTCGATCCATAGTGTAAAATCTTTCCCTGACATCCAGAGTTATGTTTGTCTTTTGGGAGGTAAACAACCTTCCTTGCTAAGGACTAGATAAAGGCACTCTGTGGCAAGTGTCTTTCTTGTTTCTTGAAGCTTAGTCATCTATTACTGCCAGTGCCCTTATGACTACGAATTAAAAATCAGATGTAGATGTCAGAGATTAAAATGGAGAAATATTTTAATTGAAATTATGTCAGTAAGCAGCTAGTAGTTCCATTCGAACCTTTGTTTACTGGAAGGAGAAGAAACCATGTGAGTGTATGTAAATTCAGTGTCCCTATTCATGACTGCTTTCATTTGGCCCAAAGCAGTTTGAGAGAAGTCATTTTGCTGCATACAAGGGGATGCCCTACCTGAAGAACTCTAAGATAGAGAAAAAAAAGATGATTTTGCCCTTTTTACTTTTTGAGGATGATTGCCAGAAAGTCCTCTGGAATTCATTTTAAATTGGCTTGTGCTTTCTGTTTCTTGTCACTCAAAATTCAACACATATATGCACAACAAAGCCTGAAGATTTGTAAATAAAAAAGATCTTTACGTAATTTTTTTTTCCCCTTGGTTTTTGTTTGCTCTCTTTTTACTGCATTTTCACTGTTGAATGTATTCATTGCCTTTTGAAAGACACATATTATCAAAATATGTGGCCTTTGACTCATACGTTCCTTCAGTTCCTTTCAAAATGTACTTTTCAAGTGTATTCAAGAACATATGGCTGGTTTATTTTATTACACCAGGTACATATCTTCTATGGGAAGATTCTCCTTCCCTTTAATTTTGCCATGCTCTCAAAATATAACTGATTACTAAACTAGCAACCTACTCTTTTGGCTTTTTTTGAGTAGGGAATTTTTCTAAAATTTCCATGCCATGCAATGCTGGGTAGCTCCACGAGCTGTTGTGAGCCTCCTGGAGACTCAGGACATCAGTGAATAAGACTCAGCCTTCTCTTTTGTTACAAACACAGGTCAATCCAAGCAAGTGTTATCAAAGTAAAGAACAACTTAAGGAAATTCCCGTAACATAACAAGGTCTGAGAATGGTAGGATTCCCTCCATTCAAACGCTTGGCCATACAACATAAATATCCAACAATGGATTATTTTCAAAACATACCATTATCCAGTCAACTTGTGCTTCCTATGTGTTTTTCCAGCAGGAAAGTGGCATTGTTGCAAGCAATTGCTATTTTTTTCCAGTTCATTCTCTTTCTGAACATTCTTTTACTCTAAGTTAAATTTGGTTTATTATGTTGTTGTTACATTTTTAATAAGTCTGTATGCATAATTCTCAATTTGTTAATGCATTTTGTTTTCCTTCCCACTATTCCTTCTTTCAGTAAGATCCTTTCGCTATCTATGAGATCTTCAGGAGACCTCTGACTTCTTCTATGATTCTAGGATCACTGTGCTCTAACACACAAGATCTGGTTTACAAATGAAAATTAAATAACACCAATTATTTAAACAATACCTTTGGTCCAAAGGTCATGAAGCATTCCACTGCCTCTGCAAGCAAAATTCTTCCTCCACAACCAAAGGGAATTGTATCTCTGAAAGAGACCACAGCAGCTGCTGAATGATGCACAGTTCTACGGCACAAGTCTCAGGACACGAACAAGTACTCTACCTAGCTGAAACGGCAAGGGGAATTTAGAGAGAAAAAGCATCATCAACCAGAATGAGACACTCACTGGGATTAACTGGGAGTTCCACCTACAGTAAGGTCAGTGTACTTGCTATGCCTTGTCACGGAATCGATGAATGAGTTGAACCAGCTCTTCTACATGACAGATAACCTCATCAGGTGACATCTGTCCTCCTTTCCCAGCCTCTGCACTTGCTTTGATTTTAATCAAGCACAATTCTCAGCTGGGAAACCTCAAATGCCTGATTCACTTATCAATAGTTCATGCTGAGAGGGAGTTGAAATGCTCACTACCAGGCTGTCCTTCTGAGACTGACTTCCAGTCACTTTGCCTGGAGATGGTAAATTAATGGATGGTACTGGAGCCAGAGCTCACTCCAGGGCTACACAACATGGACATTACATGGACAACCTCAAATGACAGTTTTCTGGGTGCTTTGGGTGGGAATATACATGCCATACATGAAAGAATGAATTTACAATTTATTCCTAACCCATACCCAAATACATCCAAAAAGGATTTAGCTGCCATACAGCATACATTTGGTCCTCAAGTATTATATGCTTGATTTTCAATAGGTGTCTTTAAAAAACACAGCTAAACACATGATGCAAACTTCGTTCTGCTTCTTAAACAGGAACATCACTAATCAGAAGCTACATTTTTCTTCCTGCAATAGATCTCAATTATTAAATGAAGACATGATATTCAGAAATGGAGTTAGATAAGCCAAGCTGTGCTGCTCCCAGTTTTAGAGCAGAAATCACTCTGGGGACATATTCTTATTTTCTCACAGTGTTTCTCACCGCACATTAAATGATTTATAAAGTTAAAGGAAGAGGTTTTGCCTTTTGGTTTTGGATCCCTTCCCCCAAACACCAGCATTACAGTAGATGAGAACAAAGTACCCATTTCTCTGGTACAAACATTTCTACTGGTAAAAATTAGAGATTGCCGTTTTTATGACATACATAATCAGAAAACACCTTTCATATCCACATTATTTTTTTCTTTCTTAGAAAAACTTTCTTAGTTTGTGATTATAAATGCCCTGCTTTAGGAATTAAAGCAATAATTGTGCTAGTGCTATCATAGGCATTCCCTCATTCTGTTATAAATTGATCATCTTGCTCCAAGGAATAAGGGATGTGTGTGTGAAGCCACAATGATTAGCAGCTGTGATTCAAACTAAATAGAGAGCAGCTGTGCAGCTACTTTCCTAATAGCAATTACATTTTTACAAATATATGCTCCTTTATATTAGTAGGAGCTTTATGAAGGCTTGTCTCAGTAACTGCTCAAATCATTATCACATGACTAAAAGAGCCAACACAGTTAATTGAAAGCAGTATCACAATACTAGGGAGTACCTAATTTCTTTCTTCAGGCTTCCTGTCTCAAAGGCAGCAAAATACTCCAGCACGGATCTTGATGATATAGATGTTCATTCTTTCCTCTGTTCTCCACTACATGCTGAAAGACTTGGACAGAGAAAATCTACACTGCCCTCTTGCAAATGCATATATGCAGCTTTTGTCCAAAAGGTTCCTCTTTTAAAGTTGAAATTCCCCTTGCTACAAAGTACTTTTATTTCTCATAAGTGTCGGTATTACTCACGGTATCCTTGAACTCCTGTGCAGCTCCAGTCTTCAAGAGAACTGTTGCTTGGAATTTGCTTGTAGGCAAAAGCCCTTTGATTGTAGGAAATAACCGTTTTTTCATTTTGTTTGTTTGTTTTTTAACTAAGGCTTGATAGTTAAAGCTGGCAAGTTCTACTCAATTCTGTTTGCCTAACTAGGTCTTATATCAGTGGAAGAGGAAACAGTTTTGTTGGCAAGGACTGACCTTTCTCCAGTGAGATTAAACAAAACTGTCCTTCCCTAATTCTCAGCTGCTGAAAGCCACCAAGTTGATTTAAGATCTGATGATGAATAATAACAAGAGCTGAATGGATTGCTATACAAGAATGGTGATTTTGAGATTGATTCCATAACAATCATGGGAAATAAGAGAAATCTATGGCCATCCATTTACCACAAATTCCATGCTTGCCAGGTTGTGTTTGAGTTTTCTGTATGACAAAGAAGTTATGCTTATTTAACTATTTTTACATATAATTCTTTGATAAAATGATTACTCATTTCCTCTGTACATTCAATTTATTTACATTAAATTTGTTTCTCTTGTAATCTCATTTCAACTATGCCAGCTTAGTAGAAATTCTAACTTCAATATCCATTAAGATTTGCTTTAAGTTGGCTTATGAACATGCAACAAGCCTCATAAAAGCCCAGTTTAACAATAGCAGTTGTGCTTACCAGACGTAGACCAAACATTATTCATATCTGAGTCTCTTGTCTCTGAATCACAATTTACAGATGGCATTCAAAAAGAAGCTGTCTGGGGAAAAAAAAATCATCCTATATCTATTACCTATCAAACTTTATTGGAAAATAATTTGAAATCAGATTCTATGCACACGTTTTCCTTGTCTGAGACAGGCTACTCAGCAGTTGTGATTAGAAATAGAGAAGTAAGCTGCTATGAGTGAAAAAAGAGAAGGTTTTCCGGTCTGTAGCAATCAGAGAGCTATAATTTGCTTTTAACTCAAGTTCTCAGTGAAAGCAGCCAAAAGAATAATTTCTTCAACTAGATCAAAAACTAACGGAATCTAAATTAAGTATTTTCCAAACAAGTTCAGCAAAATCTAAAACCTCAGAGCTTTTACAAGGTTTGATTTTTTTACTTGCTTGCAACTCAGTGTTGTGGTTAGCAAAAAAAACAAGAAGTGATTGAGTGTCTTCTTCTCACTGTAAGATTTCATCAAGAGTAATGATGGAAGATGCCTCAATGTTGTGTCGGAGATAATAACATTTTAAATTCTACATGTGCTTTGTCTTTCTGCCTTAAAATCTCACTGAATTTCACACGAATGTATTGAGTTCAGTTTTCAGATAAGCAAGTTGCTGGCCTGCCAGCCTGGATGCAGTGGATGAAGAGGCCATGCCCTTTGTGTGACACTGAGGAATGTCTAGTGTGCTTTTCTGCTTGCTCATGGTGGACATTTGGCTAAACATTAATAGATTATCTAAAATGTTATTGACATAAAAAATCATAGAATATCCCAAGTTGGAAAGGACTCGTAAGGAATATCGAGTACAACTCCTGGCTTCACACAGCATCACCCAAAATCAAACCCTATGCCTGAGAGTGGTGTCCAAATAGCTCTTGATCTGGAGCAGCTTAAGGCCATTACTAGTGCCCTGGGCATCCTCTTCCAGGGCTGCATGACCCTCTAGTGAAGAACCTTCTCCTAACACCCAATCTGACCTCCCCCAGCACAGCTCCATGCTGTTTCCTCGGGCCCTGTCGCTGTTACACAGAGCAGAGCTCAGCGCTGCCCCTCCGCTCCCTGTGAGGAGCTGCAGCCACCATCAGGCCTCCCCTCAGCTCCTCAGCTCTGGGCTGAGCGCACCATGGGACCTCAGCTGCTCCTCACATGCCTTGCTCTCTAGACCCTTCACCATTTTTGTAGACTTCCTTTGGACACTCTGTAATAGTTTTATGTCCTTTTGGTAGTGTGGTTCCCAAAACTCAAGGTAGGGTTGCACCAGTGCAGTGTACAGTAGGAAAACCACTTCCCTCGCTCAGCTGGCACCCCAGGATACAGCTGGCCTTCCTGGCTGTCTGGGGACATCTTTACTTGTGTTCAACTTCCATTAACCAGAACACCCAGATCCCTTTTGGTAGGCTGCTCTCCAAACTCTTGTCCTCCAGCCTGTACATAAAGCCAAGGGTTGCCCATTCCCAAGTGCAGAATCTAGCACTTGCTCTTGTTAAACTTCATGAGGGTGGTGATTGCCCAGTTCTCTAATTGCAGGTCTCTTTTGCAAGGCCTCTCCACCCTGATGGATTCAACAGCCCCTTCCAATTTATTAGGCTCAGCAAAACAGCTCAAAAGATCTTTTTAGTCCTACATCCAAATCATTTATGAAAACATTAAAGAGAGCCGGCCCTAAAATAGAGCCCTAGGGAACCCTGCCATCCTGATGTAATCCCACTTACTGTAACCCTTTGGGCCTGACCCATCAGCCAATTGGTCACCCATCACATTATGTTTTTGTCTAGCCATATGGTGGACATTTTGTCCAGAAGGATACTGTGAGAAACAGTGTTGAAAGCTTTACTGAAATCCAAAAAGATAACATCAATTGGCTTCCCTTGGTCAAGTAGATAGCTGATCTTGTCATAAAAGGAAATTAAGTTTATTAAACAGGATCTTCCCCTTATGAAGCCATAGTGACTATGACCAATGACCACATCATCCTTCAGATGTTTTTCAGTAACTCTCAGCATGGTTTTCTTCATAATTTTACCAGGCACCGAATTCAGACTGATACGCCTGTAATTGCTAGAATCTTCATCATAGGAGGAGTGGCCAGCAGGCAAAGGAGATGTTTATCTCTCTTTACTCTGCCCTCATAAGGCCACATCTGGACTACAGCATCCAGGCCTGGGGCCCCCAACACAATGAAAATGTGGAGCTTTTGAAGGGGGTCTAGAGGATGGCCCTGAAGATGATCAGAGGGCTGGAGCACCTCTTCTATGAAGACAGACTGAAAGAGCTGGGCTCGTTCAGCCTGGAGAAGGATGTGGAAACACCTTGTTACAGCCTCCCAGTATTTAAAGGGAGATTATAAACAGGAGGAAAATCAACTTTTTACAGAGGTAGGTAGTGATAGGACAAGGAGGAATGGTTTTAAACTTAAGGAAGGAAGATTTAGATTAGAGGTCAGGGTGGTTTTTCACCTAGAGGGTGATGAAGCCCTTTCACAGGCTGCCTAGAGAGGTTGTGGATGCTGTCAGCTTTCCCAGCCAAGCTTGCTGACACCTGGATCCTGCTGCCCTGCTCAATTTCAGGTGTTTTATAGAGAGATGGGAGAAATGGTGGATTTGCCTGCTGTATGAGGGAAGTATGTATGGTGGTAAGTGATTGAAGAATTATCCAGGTATTGGTTCACAAAGGCTAGATTTATCTCTGTAGGGGTCAAGGAGTAACTCTGTGAACGTGGGGTGCCTGCTTTGTGTTCATATTCACAAAGCCCAGCAACACAACCAGGCATTTGAGGACAAATGAACATCAGAAGTAGTCCTGTCTGGAAATCTCATAGAAGGTATCTCATGCATCTCTCTGGAGCAATGGCCAGGAGTGCTAGGGGGAATGTGTTAACTTTCAGAAAAAATACAGACATTTAAAATTATTCTGGTGCCAAGTCCCATTTCATCACATCCTAATTGTTGTCAAGGAATGAGATCTGAGCTACCAGGTACACTCTCCTTAGTTTTATTTTGGAGAAAGAATCCATTGCTACTGTGGGGAAGGGGAAATCATATTTAAACTTAATTCTTTAAATTGATTTAATTGGCTGTGTCCTACAGGATCTTCCAGTTAAACTGGAAAATGAGGTTAATTTAATACACAATGCCTGAGTTTTGCTAAATGAAGATTAAAGAGTCCAGCGCATTTGGAGAGGATTTCTTTCTCACGGCTTCTCATTTGGCAACTTGTTTAAACAAAATGCAATTATTTGATGTGGAAGTGATAGTACAATGTAAGGGAATGAAATATTTTATATTTAAATTTGGGCACTGAGCTTACAAACTCTTAACACTATACATATGCTGATGTACTGGAGTGCTCCTGCCTATGTATCATGCTGACTCAAATTACTCTTTTTTATATTTTGCTATCTGAAGGAATTATCACCTTTGAGACCAGGGCACAGAACATGTTCCTTGTAAGTCCTCCCTGAACTTCAGAGAATCTGTCAGTCCTCATAATAAGAAATGTGAAGAGAAACTGGCTGAAAACTGAAGTACATGATTGTAGTATGTTCTACAGTGTGAATACACTGTGGAAACGTGAGAAGTGATTTGTGAAACAGGATTTTGATCTTACATGGTTTGCTTTTTATACGTAAGTTAAATTCATTGTTGAAGAATACAAATAACCACGTGAAAGTAAGGTGACAATTTACAGTAGATTTTGTGTGTTTTTGTAAGTATTAAGAAAAGTAGTTTCCCTTTGAAGCTTATATTAGCCGTCATATGGATGAAGCAGGGAAAACATGAAATAAATAACCCTCTTTGAATGAGGCTTTGGTATTTAAACCTCTTTTTCCATACTATGACATACTCTGCTAATGCTGTTTTTCTTGGCTTAACTAAATTTCTTATTATTGTAACTACAGACAATTCTTTCATCATAGGTGACCTTCCTATAGGTAAGGTTAGAAAATGACTTAATTTCACCCCCCTGCTGCTAATAACAGCAAGAATCACTGAAGAATGGCTAAAAGAATGCAAAAGATTGATAGGTGAAGTGAGAGCATCTATGAGGTCAGAGAAAATATTGGTGAATTTGGTCATCAGAGAAACTAAAAAGCCAGAGGAAATGACAGCAACGGGCATCATCTTCAATTAATCTCTTATTCCTTCAACTCATTTATTGCACTATCTGGGACTTTGGTGTAAGAGTTCTTTTTCCTAAAACTTCATATTTTGAGGCTCTTCTATTGATATTTCTTCAAACATACGTAATATACTTGAATATATTCGTAATTTATATAGTGCTGCAATATATATATTGTTCTAAGTATCTAAATTGTCAGCGAAAGGTCAGTTTTCAGGGCTTGACATGGAAC